AGTGAAGAAATGGTCAACGGAGCGGCCGGCGCAAGGGAAGGAGAAGGCCACTTTCCCTCCTCCTTCCCTTGTACTGGCCGCTCAGTTGCCTGTTTCTCCATTGCAGCAAAGCGTCCAGGATCCACTTCGATGGGGGGAGGGTGTTTAATTTAACAACCGGTTCTCCCAGGGTCAGGTTGGCCATCGCGGGAGGTTTAACCCACATGTGCGGCACAGCCAAACCTTCCACGACAGCCAACCTGACTCTGGGTGAACCGGTTGTTAAATTATTTGAATCCCATCACTGGTTTTATCTATTTTTTTTATAAGTGTATGTGAATTTACTACTGAGGTTTTGCTAACAAAATGGTAGCTGAAGGGGAAAAAAGGGATTGGAATAAAACAAAAATAGCAAAGACCTCAAAAGCGTAGGCAGGGAGGCCATATAATCACTTTTTTCTATAAATGAATTTTCTCATGAAACAAAGAACTGAGTTCACATTCAATTAGCAGAGTGATTCTTATTGTTGTTATTTCAAGAGTAGTTTAATGAAAAAATACATATGGGTAGTAATGATGCATTAGGACAAAGAGAAACAGCAAAAATGATCAACAACCTCAATGTTTCTTTCTTTTCCAGTGACAATCAGCAATAAAGTCATTATTTAAAATATTGAAAGTTCTGTTACAAAATGTAATTCAGTAAAGGGTCATGAGCTTTTAATGGTTCTATTACAGCCTCTTATTTTGAATAGTTATCACATGCAGTTCAATGCTTTGGGTTATTGTTCAGAAGTAATTAATATTGCCTTTAATCAATCTTACTAAATATTAGTTTTAATCTGAAATATTATAGATAAATAAATCTGTTTAGTTAGAGCACAAAATTTCTCCAAGTTGTATTATTTCTGTTGAGATAGAAATGGGCCTTTTTCATTGTGATACTCAGTTTGAGATGGCAGGGATGGCCATAATTAAGCAACTTAATCACATGCAGATTTAATTACTATGCAAGACAATAAGTGGGCCTGCCTATGAAAAATGATTAAAACCTATAACTGGTTCAAAATGTGGTAGCCAGAAGGTAGGCTTTAAACACAATGTCTTCCTGAGTATATTTTGTTCTACTACAAGACATTGCTTACTTCTTGAAACCCTAAATGATTATACTTAAAGACCTGCCAGTTTGATAAGAAACTCTCTCTCATGAACCTCTACTAGTTCTAGGTTCTACCAACACTAAAAGTATTGCTGCTTACTGCCATCTAACTCATAGTAAATAGGACAGAATTCTTTGTTGACAGAGGCAGCTTAAATGCTGTGGATTGCTAAAGCTGAATTTTAAATTAATACAATTTTAAAATTGGGGCATCTTAGTCTGTTTGAGACAAGTGACGTTAAACCATAATGTCAGTGCCTATTCTATACATACATAATGTCAGTGCCTATTCTATACATATCAGCTTTAAAGGGTCACATTTTGAGACATTTTAATGACAAAAGCCTATAATGGATAAGAATTTTGATAGAAGATTTGAATTATTTACTGGTTCCAGGTATTTCCTGGGAAAGATACTTCTATTGTATTTCTACCTCTGCCTGTGTTTGTACTACTAATTCAGGGGTGAGAAATACCTAAGACAGGGGTGTCAAACTCGCGTTGTCATGGCGGCGTCACGTGATGTATCGGGACTTTTTCCCCCTTCGCTAAACCGAGAGGGGGTGGAGCCAGCACGTGACACATCCGGCCCGCGGGCGGCTGAAGCCATTAAAGGCGGCATCTCAACCTGCTGACCTTAGAAGGATCACATATGGCTATCCAGGGATGCTGTAAAGTCACTAGAAATGAGTGTTAACTCCCAAAAGCAACCACATTGAAAGTCAACGTTTTTACCTGAAAAAGTCAAATTTTTACACTGTGATTTCAGGGATAATCTTGATCCACCAATTAGATAATTCTATTTCTTGGAGGAAATTGCTCCTATAATAGAAGATCCAGTGCTGCAGTCTCATAAATATTTAGTATAATCCACAATGATATAACATGTGCCAAGGATAATTATAAAGATAGGCGGGGGATTTGTTTAAAATCAAGTCTTACTTGTATAGACTTGAAAAAACATATATTTTTTGTTATGACACATGAAATATGGTTCTAGTTCTAATTCTGGAGAGGAAGCATAGAGACACAGAAGTAGGATTCTGATAAAGGGGAATATTTGTAGTTCTGGGTTAAAAATGACTTGGTGATTGGTTGTTTTCTTGCAAGACATTTCACTGGCGCACAAATGATGTTACCTAGTTTGGGTAATGAAACATCTGCAAGAAAACAACCAAGCTCAGAGTGCATCAAGGACCTCTCAGAAATAAGATTTTCCAAAGAAATATAGAAAAGAATATAAATATAAAGAAAAGGAGAAAGATTACTCACATAAAACTTTTCTTGTTCTTTCATACATGGTTCATCTGCCAGCAACCTATTTGAGAATTGTTTATAACCCAAAATTCCATATCCATCAAATTCCTTTTCTTTCTGGGATTCTGTAAAATAGGCACATGCAAAGATGATTTTTGTTCTGAACAATCCTCTATAGCTGCTAAATATCTCAATTGTTCAATTAGAATTTTTTAAAGAAAAAAATCCTAGTTAAGCGTTCAGCGCTCTAATAATTTTCCACACTTCTCTCTGTCTTAATTAATATTCTTAAACAGCTAGTAGTTGGCTATAATTAGAATGATACATGGTTCTTGGATTTAGTCACTCTATTAGCAAAAGATAAAAATATCCTAAGATAATATTTTGTCGAAAATGGACTTTAGAGGGTGCTGTTGCATTTGGTGTGTTAAAAAGTAAGAAGGAAATCTGAGAACAGCAGATCTATTATCTTCATTGTATTATGCTTGCTAGTCTCATAAACTGTAAAAACACGAATATCTGTTATAAAATTCAGTGATTACTTCAAGATGTAAACGCTTCTGTTCTGCTAGTGATGCAATTGCTTGCCTCTTATCACTTCAAGAGAGAGAGAATTAAAATATTTTAGGCGCATTAGCAGCCTTTGCAGAAAAAGTTGAATAAAAGTTTATGCCCAGAGAATAATATTAGTGAAAAGAAGTGAAAAGAATATGTTGTTCTTAATAGATATTAGTGCTCAGGAATTCTATCTGAGATTCAAATGCTTTACCATTTTATTTGTATAATACATTATAAAATTATTTTATACAGATGTGTTTTTTCCTCTGAACTTATTTTAGGAGTATTCTTTAACTGTGGTACATGGTAATCTGAACACTTAAACATGATGAGGATTGTCATTGCATTGCATTGTCATTGATAGACTTAAGAATATTTCTTTATTTACCATATTTTTCAGACTATAAGACACACTCCCCCCCCCCCATAAAAAGTGGGTGGAAATGTCTGTGCATCTTATGGAGCGAATGTTGCAAAAGCCATGCCCACCCACCAGCTCCCACCCTTCGGCCTCTGCCTCCCAGCAATTTGCCTCCTTGCAGCAAACAGCCTGGTCAGCTTCAGCACAGCCTGATATAGTACGAGCAGCTGATTGATGGTTGGAGTGGCCTCCCAGAATACCGACAATCAGCTGTCCCAGGCTGCAGGGATCACTGCCGCCTATCGCCGCCTCTGCACGCCCCATTTTCGGCCTATGAGTTCCCCATTTTTTACCTCTGTGCGTCCCGTTTTCTGCACGTCCCATTCGGTGACAATAGGTGCCAGCGGTGATCCCTACCACCTGGAACAGGCCAAAAATGGGACACACAGAGGATGAAAACGGGACACGCGGAGGCTGAAAACAGGGTGCGTGGAGGCTGAAAGCAGAGTGTGTGGAGGCTGAAATTGGGGCACGCAGAGATGGCGATAGGCAGCGGCGATCTCTGCAGCCTGGAACAGCTGATTGTCGGTATTCTGGGAAGCCAATCCAACCGCCAATCAGCTGCTCGTGCTAAATCAGGCTGTGCTGAAGCTGACCAGGCTGTTTACTGTTTGCTGCCAGGAGGCAAATTGCTGGGAGGCAAAAGCAGATTTTTTTTTCTTGTTTTCCTCCCCAAAAGCAAGGTGGGTCTTATAGTCCAGAGTGTTTTATAGTCTGAAAAATATGGTATTTTCCCCTATATAAATTGGAAGCTTAAACAAGAACAACAATGTCATAAAATTTATCCAATCGATTAAGTACAAACTTTCATGGTTAAGGATCCTGTCTTCTGTTTCTGTCTTTTGAAACAGCAATCAATATATTTTTTTTATTTATTTTGATCAGTTTGCAATCAATCTTATGAAAATTGAAATATAAACCAATATAATCTGCATGTAACATTTTAAGAGCTTGAATCTATCAGATATATAACTGATAGTTATTGCCTCTCGATGCATAATATTAGTTTTAGATTTTGCTCTTATTATGACACTACTTTGCAAGAGAAGGGAGATTCAGCCTTAAAAAATTATTATTCTTTCCAAATTAATTTCTTCAATTTTGCATAAGATTATAAAATGTTCTACATCGATAAAATTCAAAATCTGTGTTTTAAATATCCTAGAGTGTCGATGAAATTTAGTCCCCACCAACCACTCAAACTCTGAATATTATGGAATGAAAACATAAAAATGCTATACAAGTTTTGTTTTGTTTTTTACTTTTACTTTAAAAAAAAAAACCTTCAGAAGTTGGGCGGCTGAATTCTAACCCCACGTTTCTCTGACATTTTATATTTTCTTTCATTTCATCTTCTCAGCTACAGTGAGTAAAGACGGCTATATTTATATCTCTGCTTCCGTTCCAGATGGGACATTAATAGATATATAGCTTGCAGCTGCACACAAAGAATATTATAGACTGGGTTCATCTCTCCTTCTCTACACAGTATCGGTTCTGTTCCATTTTGTTATGTTTCTGGTTTTCATTGTTTTTATAAATTAGAAATGGAGCATTGTACAACTCTCTCTCTCTCTCTCTCTCTCTCTCTCTCTCTCTTTCTGCAACCTTCCTTTATTCCAGATCCAATGGCTTCTATGCTACCACACAGCACCACGATTCTCCAGAGGATTCTGAGAACAGGAGGTGAGTCAAAGGAGCAGAGCTGCAGGGATTTTTGTTTGATTCAGGTTTATTAACTCAAGCATATGCTCTCTTTCTCAAATTTGTTTTCTCAGCCGGTGGCACATTGCACCATTGCCCAGTGCCATCAGTCCTGTGGAGAGATATTTTGTAGTGGATCTCAAGGCATCTTTAAAATGAGATGAAGGCAATAGAAAAAGAAAAAGAAAAAATATATACCCTTTTAATAGCAGCTTAGAATCAGAGTCTCGGTGTTTTCTTAATATATTGAAATATGTACTGTATAAACATGGCATATTCCACCTACTGAAACATTTGCTGAAACAACTCACAAAAGGGAATTGCTCCTTTAATTCTTTTTCCATGCCCCACAAACTTCCAGCCTGATATATCATCTCATTCTTTTTTTTTCCTTCCTACTAATAAATGCGGACATGGCTGTGCTTTTTCTAAGCAGGAAGTTTTTTTCCTCTCAGTTTTCATAATTATGCACTATATTTCCTACACCTCGGTTTCATTTCTAGACAACATTTTCCTCCCTGAAGCACAATTGCGTTAATCTCTGTTACTGCCGCATTTTGCATGACATCAGAATAATAACATTTCAATACAGGTAGTCCTCGACTTATAGCAATAGCACTTAGACTTATATACTGCTTTACAGTGCTTTACAGCCTATTGCCCCCAACAATTTGGGTTCTCATTTTACCCACCTCGGAAGGATGGAAGGCTGAGTCAACCTTGAGCCTGGTGAGATTTGAACTGCCAAATTGCAGGCAGCCGGCAGGCAGCAGTTAGTACTGCAGTCTAACCGCTACATCACCGCGGCTCTTATAACAGTTCATTTAGCGACTGTTCGAAGTTACAATGGCCCTGAAAAAATGAGTTATGACCGTTTTTCATACAACCATTGTAGCATTCCCGTGGTCACATGATCAAAATTCAGATGCTTGGCAACTGACTCATATTTATGACGGGCTGCAGTGTCCCAGGGTCATGTGATCACCTTTTGTGACCTTCTGACAAGCAAAGTCAATGGGGAGGCCAGATTCACTTAACAACCCTGTTACTAATTTAACAAGTGCACTGATTCACTTGAGAACTGTGGCAAGGAAGGTCATAAAATGAAGCAAAATTCACTGAACAAATGTCTTGCTTAGCAACAGAAATGTCGGGCTCGATTGAGGTCGTAAGTCAAGAACTACCTGTACAATAAAAACCTTTTCCCAGAACATGGGCTTTTGCCTCTTTTTGGAAATTCTATTTCCAAAAAACACACAAGCAGAAAATGAAAATCTCATGTATTTTCTTTACCCATCTCTCATTGTTCCTCCACTTATCCCCCACAACCAGTTCACTTTAGAACCTTCTTAATAGAGTCCCAGTGTTACCTTATATGTTTGGTTGAACATTGCAGCAAGATATGAAACCCAGCACAGGTTTAATTTATTTTTACATGCAATAATTTGATCCATATAAACTGTGAGACTGACAGCAACAGCCAATGGACTCTGCTGGAGTTCTTCTCAGTGGTATAATAAGCAGTCAGAACAAAGGCATTCAGTGAGTTTACATGTCTGTTTAAATCTTCACAATCTGTTGAAGGCAATAATTTGGATACTTCTTGGCTCCTGTAGGAATAATGTAGTCTTGAAACATCCATCAGTATTATTATAAATCTTTATATAGGTGGACAGCAGCTGAGAGTAGAGACTTGCCTAAGCTCAGTGACTTCCTGATTGTTTCCCATCTTAGTCATTAGCTGACCACCCGAGACATCAGGAAAGAACTGATTCTCTCCAAAAGTCATCCACAAATTATAATTTTGTTTTGACATAAGTGGAAAAATTTTAAAATGTATGTGGAATGCTTAATGATTTTTTTAATCTGAATATTCATTAACTATATTTAATGTTAAATTAACCTGAATAATCATCACTAGTTTCAGAAAGTATCGACCAAGTGTTCAGAATAATTATTAGGATAACTTTGTTTTTTTCGACCGATATTTTTTAAAGTCTTCGCCCAGACCCTTTGCAAAAAAATATCCTCACACATTTAAAAAGTTCTGTCCACAAGTACAAAGTAAAACCATGTGCAACTGATTTTATAGCCTGCAGCTAAACACTTCCTTCAAAAGTTTTGCCCAGTTTCATTATTTACTCATGTCTCAAGTGAATCATGCAAAACTATATTTTGGCTCTTAAATCATCCTTTCCCTTTCTTCCCAGCAGGGTGACCGTGCTTCAGGACTTGATGGGTAGAAGAAGACGAGGGAGGAGGTAAAGGAAATAATGAATTCACTCCACCCTTCCAGGCAGAAGGAAAAGTGCTAGTAATCAGTCAGATGCAAGAAGGTCAAATTAACAATAACAAAAGGTACAGTATAATGAAGTGATGGGTGTAGCCCGGACATGGATGCCAGAATACTTTGCCAGCAGAAACAAGAACGAACAGCTAGGTACATGATGTCATTGTGAAATGAATTTTAATTTCCTAAATGCAGGTGAATTTTCCCTTAGAAGACACGTTTGTCCCATCAGTGAATAAACTTAATTTCAATCCTGTTTCATCGTTGTCAGAATTTACCTTATTAAAGCTGAACAATATAATTCAAACATATACCCGGTTTTCTGGATATGTTTAAAAGGAAGACTATGGGAATGGGCTAGAGGAATACATTGTGTGGATTGGCAACAGTTTTACTGCATCTGGATTCAGGTATTTATTATTTATTCAAGCAATTCAAGATCATCACATATGTGAGCTCTCCTCAAAGCAGGTCTATCAATTGCTTTCAGGATAAAAATGACTCCAACATCCTACTGAGAACTTATGTCAGAGATAGATGGCCTGGTGTTCTTCATAGTTTTTGTATTACATATGGATGAACATGTTTTCCCATGAGAACTATCTACTCTGAACTTTGGAGATGAAGAGGAAGATATGCTTGCAATATACACATGTAGCACATAGACTGAACTATTAGTCCCTAATAGAATTGGGGACTGAACTGAATTCACTTTTAGTTCCTTACAATGTCATTATTTATTCTCTATTGCAATTCTTTGGGTTTTCTCTTTGAACTCACCATAATTCCCAAACTTCAATGGTGATGTAACATTCCCCCCCCCCCACACACACACACTCAAATCCTGACCTCTATACTCATGTTCTTGGGACTCTTTGCAAGGAGACTTATGCTTTGTGGCATTTCTTGGAATTACCATATGACCACACCACATTACATGTCTTATGAGATAAATGAGACATCTTGGAATCTCTGCTTCATTGATAGGTCATTTTAACCATCTGTTTTTAATTCTTTCATTTCCACACTGTCATCAATTAAGGTTTGGAAGCTGATCATATGTGACAAGGGCATTCTGTATGTGTATATAATGCCTTTGAGATAGACCCACAGGCATACACACAGAGGCATTTATATTACAATTAGATAAATGAGTTCGATATTCCGTCGTTACTCTTCTTTTTCCCATTTTTTAAATATAGTTAGGGGACAAAACGACACAGTTCTCAGTACCCCAACAATTTGAATTGAAAAGAATTCATCCGAAAACAACAAATATAAATCAATCTAACACATCCAAAAATAAAGCATATTCTATGGGGCTGTGCAGCAATTCAGATTTGAAGAGGAAAAGGTGATTTACAGCACACATGGGCATATAGGTCACACCTGTTGGCATCTGCATAAATGAAACATGGGTCTTCTTGGGATTGCGCAGAGGCAGCTATGCTGGCTAAGGAAAAGACACAACTGTATGAGGTTCTCAGCGGATATGACATGAGTATCCCCTCATTTTGTCAGTCATCTTTTCCCCTTCAGATATGCGTAGCCATATTTATACTAGGACTGTACATGTTTTGAAAATGATTGTGAATAAGCGCTCTGGATCTCACACAAGAGCCTTACCATAATTAAAACAGACTCTCTAATTTGCAGCCTCTAACACAAGCATAAAGCAACATGTGCTACTATAAAGAGTTGATTTATTAATTTTCAAAGCATTAGCAGCCTGACTTTATTTAACTAGTTATCTACCTCCTTGCTTTTTCTGTAAAATAACTGTCTCATTTTCAGGTAATCCAATTCAGGTTTGACTTTTATATGACAGATAAGGTAAAGGTAAAGGTTCCCCTTGAACATATGTGCTAGTCATTCCCAACTCTAGGGGGCAGTGCTCATCTCTGTTTCAAAGCCAAAGAGTCAGTGCTGTCCGAAGACGTCTCCTTGGTCATGTGGCTGGCATGACTAAACACCAAAGGCACATGGAACGCTGTTACCTTCCCACCAAAGTGGTCCCTATTTTTCTACTTTCATTTTTTACTTGCTTTCGAACTGCTAGGTTGGCAGAAACTGGGACAAGTAACAGGCGCTCACCCCATTACGCAACACTAGGGATTCAAACTGCTGAACTGCCAACCTTTTGATCAACAAGCTCAGCGTCTTAGCCACTGAGCCACCACATCACTAAGATATGACAGAGAGAAAGGCAGAAATAGAAGAAAAATTGTATCATGACACAACGATTCCTCCTCCCTCTTCTCTCCCCCCTCTCCAATTTCATTGCTTCCATTTCTATGTGGAAAAAGAGGGATCAACAATGCAATCATGCATTTGCAACTACATATTACTGGATAAATGAAATTTATTGCCTTTGCAATTCTACATTAAAGCCTTAGAAGAAATGTTGGTGTTTAGTTTAGGAGAGTTGCAGAACATAGAAAAGGGAACTGCAGAGCATGCCCTACCTTTCTCCTCCATTTCTTCCACCTGTGCCTTCCCCGATCTCTGGAGGTTCCCCCCCCAGTGCGCCCCATTTTGGGCCTGGAAAGCTTCCTGCACCAACCTGGAAGCCAAAAATGGGGCACAGTGGAGCGCCTGTGCAGGGGGGGCTTGTGGGGGGACACGTGCGCATGCGTGGGGGTGCTTGCATTGTATTTTGGGGGTTCTGGCACGCATGCATGCATTCGCGCGCTTGTGTGCGCACTTTGAGCACTCGACACCAAAAAGGTTAACCATCACTGATCTAAGCTATAGCATGGCATAGTGGGTGGCACCAGTGGAAGGGATTACTCTGAACAGACAGCTGATAAAACAGGAAATAACAGATGAGTATAGGGACATGAATTTATCAAGAACTAAGGTATTTATTCAAAGAGCACCTTTTTCCATTTCAATAAAGAAGGAAGGAGAGGGAGGAGAATTGTTAAAACTATCCATTGTCTTCCATTAGGAAATCAAAATATTAGTATATTTGTGCGGACATTTGATTGTGGGGTCAGAGACAACTTCCCTAGAAATGTCATGTCTGTTCTTTTTATTATTAATCGCTTGGCTGAAAACAATTTGTCTTTAAAGAATGCAGGATAAAAAACAGTGAAATCTACTGTCTGTTGTAAATTAGTGTAATGAATGGGAAGGTCTGTTTTTCCTCACAGCTCTATCACACTTTCTCTTACATCCAGCATCAAATTTGCCATGGGAATAAAGAATGGAAACTCTGTGTTTATCAGAGGAAGATCGTCACAAATTAGTCAGCAATGAAACATACTGATAGACATTAACCTAGAAACCAAAAGAAAAAGAAGAGCAGTGTTTCAGCTGCCCCTTTAGTTTCTGGAAAGATTGGAAAGAACTGAAATTGTTGGGCAAATATGACAGAGGAAGGAAGTCTGCAATGCTTCAATTACAAAAAATCCTCATTTAACCAAGACAACTCATTCTCTTCAAATTTGTTCTGGACACAAAAAAATTACGCAAGATTACTAATTCATTGAACTCATTGAACTATCTCAACATTTTAATCAAAGTTTCTAGCATCTAGTATAACAGTATATACATCTAGTATAACACTACCCGTTAGTCTAAAATTTAAAATATTGTGAAGTGTAATTAATTGCAACATGATGGTTTCTAATTAATTTAACTATTTCAACTAAATTTTAAAGATTGATTTTCTATAATAAAATAGTATGAAATATATGTATATGTATTGTGCATGTGTGGGTATACACATATGTTTAAAAGAATGTGTGTGTGTGTGTGTGTGTTTAAAAAAGAACATAAAAAGTAACACAAACTTATAAAGAATAAAGAAAACAAAGAAAAAGTGAAAGAAAAGAAAATAGACAAATTGTAGAAAGAAAAAATAAAAAGAGATGGAAAGAAACTTCCAATTCCCCTTGCATTTTGTAGTATGAGTACAAAAATGATCTCTTATTCTATGACTATAAAAAGCTCACTTTTTTCTATTATCCAATTTTTCCCCCTAATCATCAAAACCACAAGTTATGAGTGCATTTTTTTCCCTTTCATGCAAAAATGTCTATAAAGGGTTTCCCGTTAGCCTAAATGTAGATATAGTCTTTTCTCTAATCAAGGCAGTCACTGCAGCCATCTCTGCAAGTTTTTTAATTGCAGGGGAGCCAATATGGTGCATTGGATATTTTGTAGGAGGAGTTCCCTGCAGTTTGACACATTTTGGAGTAGAAATGTAATTGCTTTCTGCACACACCCAGCTTGCAACTGAATTGAGCTTTGTTGTGCCACTCCAAAGCTGTCAAAACTTGGTAGATGTGAGTTGAATTGAGAGCCAAGTGCATACTGAAGCAATTAAATGCCTGCTTTACTACATGCCAGATGTTACACCCATGATCCATTCAACATACATTCTTAGCATGCTAGATTTGGGCTATGAATTCTCTCTCTCTCTCTCTCTCTCTCTCTCTCTCTCTCTCTCTCTCTCTCTCTTGGCAGAGTTATGTATGCAGTACTAAGCACAACTGAACTATAGAAGCACATGGGAATTTGAAGGCATTCTAATCTCTCGGGTCTTCAGTTTATATTATGTACTGTGTGAATGAAAAGACCAAAAAGATAACAAGCATACGCATATTAATCACTTCAGTGTATTATTTTATAACCTCCACTGCTGAATTTAACTTTTTAAGCCTTTTCCCCCCATAAATTCATGAGTGCATCACTTTAAATGCACATCCTTTCCCCAAAGCTATTGGCTGTATTCTTTGATATTGCTCCAAAATATTTGGCGCCCTCACATCATGCAGCTTTACCCAATTTACCACTGGCAAAATGCTTAATATGATTTTGAGGTCTCCTTTAGACAGCCCTGCAATATTACTTTTGCATCCGAAGGGCAAAGTAATATTTCACTGAGTTTTATGATCTGGTTCCAGAATATGTCTCTAACTATTCACTTCAACAATATATAAATAGAATCAGCATGGCTGATATGAGATTGCTAAGAGACGTCATGGGTCAAATTGTCCATACATTTCAGATTGAATAGGACTTAAAACATTGTGTTTTCATTGTTAATTAAATCAAATCAACCCATTATTCCAAACACAATAGTTCCTAAATTTGCCATCCATCCTTCCCCCTCCAATAAATATTTGAATGCCTTAATATAGTTTGCACTTAGAATCAACCTTCCCTTTCTTTTTCTCATGCTTTCATTACCGTTTAGAAACAGACGGATCTAAATTCCTTTAAAACTAACCTGAATTTCGGGAAGTCG